GCTCGATTGCTTTCGATTTTGTTGGAGAACTCCCTCCCAGCAAAGGCCAGCGTTATATTTGGACGGTCCTTGATCTGTTCTCCAAGCAGGCACATTTTATTACACTCCCTAAACTCCCATCGGCCGAGAAACTAGCGGAGTTGTTTGTCAAACATATCTATCGTTTACATGGATGCCCAGACCAAGTTATCAGTGACAGAGGGGTTCAATTTACTGCAAAGTTCTGGAAAGAATTCATGCAGCTACTGGGGGCAGAGAGAACATTAAGCTCAGCATTCCATCCCATGATGAACGGGGGGGTAGAACGCGCCCAGCAGACTTTAGGGGCATTCCTTAGGTCATATACAAATCAACGTCAGTCAGACTGGGCGGATCTCATCCCCTATGCAGAGCTGGCGTACAACGCAGCCCCGCATGCCTCAACCGGAGAGTCCCCTTTCAAAATTGTTTACGGCCAGGAAGTGGCCCCCCTTCCCAGGTTACCGGAGTGGGAGGAAGAAGGGCAGAGGCGGGGGGAGGATTGGGCAAACAGAATGAGAGCTAGCTGGGAAGAAGTAGTCACATCACTGCGGGAAGCCCAAAGGAAACACAAACTGTTCGCCGACCGTAAAAGGAGGGAAGGAGACAAATTAGAGAAAAACGAATTGGTATGGTTGTCTGCAAAGAACATTAAGTTAGACGCGCCATCAAAGAAACTTACTCCACGTTATTTGGGTCCGTTCCGAATCTTAGACAAGATAAATGAAGTTACATACAGGCTAAAACTACCCAAGGATTGGGGAAAAGTCCACTCGGTTTTCCACTGTGGGTTACTAAAGAAATAGCAAGGCCCTCTTGACCCAGAAAGCCTATAGACATGTTCTCTGTTTTCGTTACAGGAGGAAGGAGAGGAGGAGGAGGACGTTATGTCAGGATCCAGTTTCCAGAGCCCAGAATTGAGCACCGGAAACTGAACTCCTAACATTTTGCCCTGATAAGAACCCTGCAGCTGGTGGCCTTGAAGAAAGCAGTTGTGTGGTGGCGGGAAGCTTTGCGTGGGGTTCTGGATCTGGCGGGAATTCACCGTTTGAACAAGGGGGAGGGTATATAAGGGGATGCCTGCTGCGTCCAGGCAATTCCGGCTTTTTTGTGCCTTAGTATCTGACAGTAAAGTTCTTTGTTTGATTACGATGGAAGTCTCGTGTCATTATTGAGCCCAGCTGTTGTGAGCTGACACAGAGGACTTTATCTTCAGCCAAACCTAGACTGTGGAATGACCTGTCAGAATAGACTCCGTGGGGAGTAATAGGTAATTGTTGTTATTATCATCATCATTATTTTGATGCAACATAATATTCTAACAGTAGAGTTCCCATTATTCAGTGAGGTTGATTAGAATGCCAACAAGGACATTTGCGTGTTTGTTTGTTTGTTTTCTGTTGCAGCAGGGGGAAGATACTCTTATTTGGCAACAGACTTTTTTAAAATCCTTCCAGATATAAATGTTTTTTTCTGCCATTTATTAATTTACCATTTTAATAAGTGCCTGTATATTTTATTTTGCACCATCTCCTAAGGAGTCAAGGTCTGATAGAACACCCTAGTGAAGTATATAAAAAGAAAGGAACTAATTATCATAAAGTATGGTACAACAACTGATGACAACAAATCTGAAAATAAAAGAACGTCTTAGGATGCATTGACAGTTCACAACTCATAAAGTTGTTGGACAGTCTTAGGAGTGGGACCTTTTTAACTAAATGTTTACTACGTGTTAAATCTTACAATAAATGACAGCCTTATTGAATCATAACATAATGATTCTTTAAGAGTACAGATTATATATTATCTGCAAGAAAGAAAACTTGCTGAAGTTCTCTTCAGCAAGCTCTTTATTTTCCTCATCCACTTACTGTCATTTTAAAATAGCAAAGACTACAACTTTTGAAACACTGAGGTAAAACCAGAAGTGTGGTTTGATTTAGTGAACTTTGCATTAAGAGACATTTTCACACGATCATAGCGGAAAAGCAAATGTAAGGTTGACTTCACCAACAGAAAAGAAGAAAGGAAAATAAGGGCACAATTTATGCTCAAACACTCTCCCTAAGGGCTTAACACTTACCGAAAGACAGTAAAGCCAAAAGAAGAAGAAGGCAAGAGAAGGGAGGTGGGAATCATGGAGTGGAATGGTGATATTTCTGAAATATTTCATTTTATACGTTTAACAAAAACCCATTGTATTATGCTGCTTCCTACTATTCAGTTCACCAACTCTCATAAAAAGATCTCTGTTAATAATCTAAAAACTTCTGGGATGCCCTTAGGTGCGAGATCCTGAAAACACCCATTCAGAGACATCTTATATTCAGCATACTGCAAAAACATTAGCAGTTTCAGAGTCATTGTCATAAATGTATCAAAGTATTAACCAGGGTTTTTTAGCAGGATAACAAAGACTATATATATAAAATAAAGCAGCAAAGTAAAAAACAGGAATAAATTAGTGCAAGTTCTCACCCTCGCCAAACTAACAATTAATTCCCTGATAGTAAAAATAAATTCAGCTTTAATTTTTAGCTATATTAAAAACATTGCTATCTTTCAAAAAAGGAATAGGTGAATACAGGATAAACAATGTGCACTGAGTGATCATCCACAATGATGAGGATGATTGCAATTGTGAGATGCAATCACAGCTGGGAGAATAGGGGAAACAACAGAATCAGCCGTTATTAATGCAGGAATAGTCAGTCTGTCCATGAGCAAGATCTCACTCAAAAAGGCATAACATTCAACATTTGGCAGACGCAAACTGGGATATGTGTAGCCAAGCAACATCAGAATATGGTTAATAACAACAAACACACAAGTCAGGAGAGGCTGAAATGATTTGCGTTTGCTTGAGCCTATTAGGAACTACTTTTAGACTTTGAATTCAACTTGAAGTAACTGAAACAAGATAAGGACAAATGTGGAAAGTGGGGGAAAGAGAAAAAAACAGGGACATTTTAAAAGCAGCTTTAAAGTCAGGAAAATAGAGGATTAATTGGGACTATTAGGGCATTGAATATCTGCCTTTTTTGTATGTTTATTTACAGTATTTGTACACCTCTTTTCTCACCCCGAGGGAAACTCAAAGCGGTTTACACATAAGTAATGGCAAAAATTCAATATGTAAACCACCCTGAGTCCCCTTGGGGAGAGAGGGTGATCTATAAAGTTATTATTATTATTATTAGTAGTAGTAGTAGTAGTAGTAGATGTTCCTGACAGATCCGAAGTATTGGAGGATATGTGAATAATCGGACCAGAATCATCAGTTTTATGGGGGAACCCATTCATCTTAATCCTGATAATTGTACTTCTGCTCATCTGAATGTGTATACAGTGTTGGCTCAGAACAAAGATCCTGGAGCTTCCTTTCAGATTGTGGTCCACTACACCAGTTCTTTACACATACACTATGAATGTACTACTACACAAATTTAATGCATTAGTCCAAATAACACATGACACTTAGAAAAGTAGCTTCTCTTTTTTAAAAAAAAAAAGGGTTGTGCACAACTATTGTTTTAAGTCAGAAAAATTGTGATTTCAGGATATCTTGAATTACAGCAACAAATGTAATAGATGTTTTCTTTTCTATGATTTGATGCATCAGTGCATGAGATTTAATGACTGTGCAGTTGTATGAACATTGTGACATTGTACTAGCATGCCATCAGGAGTATTATAATTAAATATATTGGCACAAATGTTTAAGATCTGGGTGTACATTTCTGTTATGTGTGAGTTTTTGCTTTATCTCCAGCTACTCAACTTGTTTATTTGGCAAGTATGCTCAAATTTTAACAGGTTTAACCTAGGTTTATGTTAATTTAGCTTGAAAGCAAGGAAAGGGATTGATATTTCTTTGGAAATGACCTGGCTAGACTTACCCTGGTGTCGTTCAAATACAAATCAGTATTTCACACATTATAAATTAGACAAATGCACATGTTGGAACACTGATGTAAAGGAAGCATCTGCTGTCCATCCCATGCTATATTCTCTTTTTCCTGCATTTGACAATAAGCATGAAAACAAATTGCCGCTCACAGCATGGCTCCTACTTGAAATTTCCACTATAGTACCTTTAACCATGTGGAAAAATATTCACTATAGACATAGTTTTTCAGACTTCCCCAGCCACTCACTTGAGATAAAACTGTGTTACTTGCCATGAAGTTATCAAAGAAAACTATGTAATCATCCAGTGGACAATCGATAAGTTCGTAGACTGAATTATCATTCTTCCACGTTACTGAACATAACAAGATAAGCTAACACATGAAGACAACTTTGCTCACTTTGTCCATTATTCTGACTTTCTGTTAGGCCTTACCTAAGTTGAACACCAGCAGACCTCCAAAAGACCTTGGTCCAATTTTATTCATTGAACAAAAATTTCAATTTTAAGAAAGCTACTTTGTTTTTTCCAGTAAATGTCTTCCTTAAAATGTCTTAAAATTAGGTATACGGCGGAGCTCTAACAAGCACAATCCACAATTACAACCTGTTGAAGCTTCAATTAGCAGAAGCTATCAAGAATACAGTTCTAGTGTAAAATTAATTATAAGCATTCAAAATTAGTTTGAATTACAATTTACATATAAAGAGCACCCAGAACTGAAGCCAAGTACATGTCCCAGATGGATGTCACCCTTCGCTGCAGCTGTTTAGTTAGGTGGAAATTACTGCATTTTGAAAGGCTGAAATGAAGTTGCTATCAATAACAGGCATAATTTAATATAGGTAAACTATTCAAATGTATGTTATGTGCTTTCAGCCAAAAGAATTTATTGATAAACTGAAGTAATATAAGGTGTATAAATTGCTTCTCCTTCTGGCACAAAATATAAAAAATCCTTTGACAGGCAACTTTGCAGTGATTAACATTTAGGCATAAAGGTTACTTAACATATCAATACAAAGGTTATTTCCATAAAGATTATATCAAATTATAAGGTTGGCCTTACCAGTCTTTCTGATGAAGCTGTTCCTTATAGAATAGTACATGACCAAGCACTTCATTTATTTCGGAGCAGCTGTTATGTACACAAACCCAAGCAAGAAGGCTGTGCCAGAGAAATGGCTTAATTTTGAACTGCTTTTGTTCAGGGTTTAATTCAGCTGCACTGTCAATACTCATGGGTGACTAGGAAAAATAAGTTAAATCCGTTAATAAGATCTTGTGAATACAAAATTAATTGGTAATTTTCAGCATAGGCTTGCATCTCATTTTTTTTTCTATCATAATATTTAACTCAATAAGCATTATATTTTCATGCAGAGTACATTCTGTTCCCACAACATATTGAGTTTTTTAAAGCTGCAGGATACAGTCACAAGAATAAAAGTGGAGAGGGTGGGGTGCTTGAAAAAAACTTTCTGCTTTTTTATTGTGGTTGCCTTTATTGTGCACTATCAGAATTTAAAATAATTCTTATCTACGTTGTTGTGCCCTTGAATCTCATTTGATAAACAGCTGCACAAAGATGTTTTCAATAAACACCTCAACAAGACACTGAAGTTAAGTGGCTACATGGTATAGATGCATGCAAGGTTTTGGACTCAGAAATTGTGACCCATTAAACAATTGTCTTTTGTAATCTGAGAGATGTGCCCATGATGCTTTGCAATACCTCAAGGATTCTAGAAACAAAGCTTTTTAAACATAATTTGCTTCTTTCCTTCCATGAAAGACAGGGTACTCTGCACACCTACTTTGATTACATAACAACTGAAGATCTGTAAAATACAGGCAATATCCAACATTGTCGTTGCATTTCATGTGGCAGCTTCCACAGACACATGCTGGAGGGGTGAGGTATAGCCTCCCTTCTGCAACTCCTCACAGATCCCATGCCCTTAAAAAAACTATTCCAGGGGACTTTGTTCAGTGCCAGAAATGACTATATAGGAGAAGAGAGGTACAAATAATGGATTTAGACCAGAAGTTCCAACATCACACTTTCATTGTCATTCCAACATCATGTTTCACTATTCCCTTCTCTATGTTTCAGTGGAAAATGTGAACCAAAGCTTCAGCAGCAATATTTCAATCAGACAGCAAAATCAGATTGTATAAATGTCTCTGCTGGGTCCAGCCACCAGATAGTTATGCCAGTGATAGGTATTCATGTTATCATCCCCAGAGGAAAGAATGGTGGGTGCTGTGGGGTTTTTTCCTATTTAGTCAGTGCTTTCATTTACTGTTTTTATTCAGCGATACGGCATTTCTGACTTGCAGTTCAGCTCTCTTCTGAAAATTTGAATTTTCTACTTGTGCCTTCACCTAAGGAGCCGGTGAACAGTGGCAATTTTGAAATGACAATTGTAGTTTTCTAAAAACTATACCTCTTCAGATGTGAATATTTAATAATCCTAGAATGTGTTTTCTAAGGGAAAAAGTTTAAGCAGCAATCCAGCACTTTGCTGGAAGACATATTTATGAGATGTATAGGTGTTTTTTCTGTTTATTTATGAAATGTATAGGTGTTTTTCAAATAAGAGGCATTGGAAAAATATGAGAGAGATCCTTGGGTTTAAAGAAAAACAAGGATGGAATGATATCCTGCCCCTGCCTCCCAGCAAGAAAATTTGGACTATAGAGAAATCCGTGCCATGCTATCTCAAAACATGGACACACTAATGGACCTTTTGTTTTGTTTGCACCTTTACTTCTATTCAAAGTACATGTGTTTTGTTCTTTGATTCTTTAGAAATATTCAAGGCCAGAGTTAAGATTGTTGGTTTGTATCCTCCACACAACTATGAATGATCCCCACAAACAAATTCTGAAATGTCCATATTAGACCTGTATTCCCATCTCTGAAGTGGTGGACCATTACAACTTGATCTGAGACAGCTACCGTGATTTCAGAAATCAAGGAGCTATGATTATTTACTTTCAAAAGTTAAGTAACACAATATTTTGCACTGATTTCATTACTGATCTATCTATCTATTTGAAACAGGTTGAACCGACAAAAGGAAGGAGCCTTTAATAGAGTTCTATATATCTGGCTTCCCTGAGACTATTAAAGTCCACTGAACAGACCTGCATTTCCATCCCAACAAACAAGTACAGATCAATTGGACAGGGCTAGTAAAGATTATCTAAGTGTGCACAAGACTACACTGAAGTTCTGTCTGCAAATGCTGATACTGGACAAATCGAAACTGGACAAAAAGTATATATGTACATGATATATTTCTGATATTTCAGCATCTAAATTCACTTTCCACATTTTTTTTGTCGTGTCATGAGTGACTTGAGAAACCAAGTCGCTTCAGATGTGAGAGAATTGGCCGTCTGCAAGGACGTTGCCCAGGGGATGCCCGGATGTTTTGATGTTTTTACCATCCTTTTGGGAGGCTTCTCTCATGTCCCCGCATGAGGAACTGGAGTTGATAGAGGGAGCTCATCCACGCTCTCCCTGGATTTGAACCTGTGACCTGTCGGTCTTCAGTCCTGCCAGCACAGGGGTTTTATTTATTTAGTTATTTATTTCGCGCATTTCTACCCCGCCCTTCTCAACCCCCGAGGGTGGACTCAGGGCGGCTTACAAAAGGCACAATTTGATGCACCACTGGGGACTCCACTTTCCACATGATATAACCAAACAGGAATAAAAACCAACCATTCACATGATCTCTTGCTAATATCAGTAGGTTTCTCTTAGCACTATAAGCAACTATTTAAACTACTACAGCTGCATGCATTTTCATTTATGCACATTCTCCCATAGCATCAATCAGTGTTATTGTATTTACCCCCTTATATTCATGATATGTGGCTTCATTTTCAAACTCCTCTCACTCCTTCTTCCCTCCAGTCACATGTCAACTATATATTATAGTGCATTTCTTTCATTTATATGGTATCTGTATGCTGCTCTGTTCCAGTTCGTCATCTTAGTTAATCTTTCTTCTCCCTTTCTTTTTCAAAAAGGCGAGAATTTAACATGTGTTTCTATGAAATTGCTCGCCAGCCTTCCTTTTCTTTCATGAGGAAAAAAACTGACTGTTACAATTAGGATTTTACCTGTATGATGATGAAATTTCCATGGACAAATTCAATATACTTGATTTTGAGTAGACACTCCCATTAAGACTAATATTGAAATTGTAACCCCTACTTGCATCAACCAGTGAATCCCACTGAAGTTAAGGGAGGGGCTCCTTCTGACTAGACACTCTCACGTATAGTAAATAAGACTGAAGTTGAGTTCCTGTAATGCCAGTAAATGCTATGACAATGGAGTTCCATCATCATGGTATTCGCTTCTGGTCGCGTCTGAGCCCTGCCACATGCACAATGGAGGACCTTCTTATAGCAACACCAGGGGCACTCCAAGTGAACAGCTATTGGTCAAAGGACATTTAATATAATGCAAAGTTTTTAAACTTTGTGCTTTTTAAATACATTATAACTGTACCCTTGGTTCACTCCTGACACAATAAAAAATCATGGCTATCTCTGACAATTTAATTTCTCAAAAGCCACCTTAGAAGCCAATTATCTCCACTAACCAAAGAAGTTCCAAGGTACTGGAGACTAGGTTGTTGAATGACACAGAGCCTTACATCCCCCTGTAGGGTCATATCCAATTGCTTTTTGCACTGCACTCCCTGATGGAAGAGAGCTGGAAACGGTTATAGAATCATAGAGTTGGAAAGAGCCTCATAGGCTATGGAAGCAAACCCTCTACTCTATGCAGGATCATCAGTTAAAACATCCCCAGCAGATAGATGTAGAGCCTCTTTTTGAAGACATCTAGAAAAAGAGACCCCCACCACCTCTCTAGGCAATACCTTCCATTGTCAAACCGCTCTTACTGTTAAGAAGGCTGAATTAACTGGCCTTGGCCCACATTGACTCAAGTCAACTCTGTACATCATGCAGCCACCACAAAGCTGATTTGCCTCCCCCACTTTTGAGAGAAAAGGTTAGTATAGATGAGCCCTAAGTTTGGGGAGGAGCATTTGCAGTCATTTTAATCACAAATGTGAATTGTAGTATTTATAAGGCTATATGCTTGGTTTACAATATTGCAATCTCAGCCTTTTACACAATCTACTTATTTCCCTCTGAGCAAATGTGTTCTGCATTGTATTGATAATCCTGGCAAACACATATTTCGGTGCCTCAAATGTTAGCACTGTTGACCTGCTGATTCAAAAAATGGCACCAGTTTTCCCCTATCAGTTCTCGTTTTTGATATACCAAACATATACCATATGCCAGTCTTCGTCTGCTTGCCCATAGAAAATCATGACGACCATATCTAAGAAACTAGAGCTGATGTGACCTATCTAATGCATTTTCTGAATCAGTGCCTCAGATAACCCTGGGAACAGGCCTAAAGACACCAAGAATTTCTTTTTGTTGGGCTGTGTAATGGTTCAAAATTCTAGGAGTAAATGAAAAATAAGCGTTTAAAAGTGAAACAAGGAAAGATTTCCCCCCTAAATTAGGTTTTTATCAGGATAGAAGGCATTGCATAACTTGAATATCCTGATGATTTGGAGAGCTGTAGAGAAGGATAGACATGTTCATATGGTCATCACATGAGATTATTCACATCCCAACCTCCCCGATTTTGAGAAAGCTTACACAAACTGAAAAAAGTGTGCAAAAGATTAGAGTCCAGAAGAGGGAACTTTCCTGAGAAGTATGGAAATGGTTCCATGATATGAAAAGAATTGCGATAGATTCCTACACCACAAAAAAAGAGAGCAATTAAGCATGTTTTAGCATTATTTACTCAACATTAACAATATGCACTCATAAAATGAAAGAATCGGGTCAGGCAGACCCTGCATAAGTAAACAAAAACACTTTGAGTCTTCTCGAGGCTACTTGAAAGCTTCTTTGAAAATGCATCAAGGGATGTGTTTTTCTTCCACTTTTCTTATGATTTCCATTTTGGTAGCTAAACTACAGAGCTTTACAGACTTAACTGATGTTCTCTTTTCTCTGTATTTTGCTGTTCATGAATGGACAGTAAGGGACTGGTAGGTAAAAAAATCTTTATAAAAAGGAAGCTCTTTGTCAGGGGTTTGGTTAAGTAGGGGATGCTTGTATTTCATTCCATCTCTGCCATACCATTCATGATGTACTATATAGGAAACATGATGGATGGGTGAGAT